TGAAAAGGCTTATGACAAGACTCAGGAATTTAGGTTCAGCAGAACTAAAGCAAGTAGCCCAAGTTTCTTCTTTTCTTTTAATAGGTATCCTATGTAACTTTTATGATTACACAGGGTTTGTTTTTCTTTTTGTTTTGTTTTGTTTTTAGAGAAGGGGGTCTCACTATGTAGTTTGCCCTGACCTTGAACTCACTATATATGTAGTCCAGCCTATCCTGGAAACTCTGGTACTCCTCCTGCCTCAGTCCCGAGTGCTGGAATGGTCAGCATGTGCTACTACACCTGGCAGGTTCAATTGTATCTAAGGACTACATTCACAGAAGTTGAACAGAGTAAAGATGAAAATGTTTTTAACAGTCTTAAATAAGTTTTACTATTTGTGGTTGAGTTTTAAAAATAGTGTGAATATGATTTTTACTCAAGGTTGATTTGCTAATATGCTACCTTTTGTCTTTTTTCTTTCTTTCTTAAGCTGTTTGGTGTGTTTTGGGCTGCCTACAGTGCTGCTTCATTGTTAGTGGGTGAAGAATTCAAGACCAAAAAGCCTCTCCTGATTTATCCAATCTTTTTATTATACATCTATTTTTTGTCCTTATATACTGGGGTGTGACCCAAATCATACATGAGTAGAAAAAGACAATATTACCTTTGATGTGGGCTGGGAATTCTTGCTGAAGAACTTGGAGAAAACATTGGTGGTAAAATTTTACATGTTTCATATGTAAAGGTAGGTTGAAGGTCTTTTTTAAACAATATTTTTTGTATTTAATTAAGCAATTGCAATTATCTGGGATTTTTTAGTCAGAATTCTAAATTCTGTTTAATTCTTCATATTCCAGTGAATAAAATATAAAAGCATTGTGTTTTTAAGATTGTGTCAATGTTCACAGGCTTTTGTGTCAAAGGCTGTGCCAAAAGCACCCGGATTGGTAATTACAGTTCACTTAAAGGGTAAATTTGACAACATCTCCATAATCTAAAGTGCAATTTTTTTCTTTAAAGAATTTACTCCTGCATTGCAGATCCTGTAGATATATATTTATATTTATACATATATATTTATGAAATAATTCTTATTATTCACAATATATATTTCTGAATAACCTAAAATTTAAAATATTAAACATAATGCTTACACTTCCTTTAATTTGGCCATTAACCTTTTTTATTTAAAAAGTTAAATTTGTTTTTTAATTGTGTTTTTTAAATTAGAGTTGCTGACATAGATTTGGTTTGTGTGGGTGTGCTTTTGAAAACCAGTTTTAAATATCTAAATGTCTCATTTAAACTTTCAGTTTATCTTTTTGACTAAAGGACCAAGAGATATAAAGGATATGGCATTCATTAAAGTCATTAATATGGAGAAAGATGATAGTACTTATAGCATTGGTAAATATTTTTAAGTGATACTTCCAATTCAGGAGTTATGGGAAAACAAAACCTTGTGGTCCTAAGCAATGTTATATAAATTAGAAAATAATAAAACATTTTCCAGCTGTGTGTTTTGTTTTATAACACCTTGTCCCGTATTACTTGATATTTTAACAAGTATCAGGCACTCACTAACAAATGTACAATTTTTGTTAAGGAAAATACTTACTGGTGAATTTTAATATTACTTTGTAAATAGGGCCAGGGATATAGCTCAGCAGAACAGCGCCTAACTGAGAAGCGCAAGATCCTGAGTTTAAGTCCCAGTACCAAACAAATTATATATATCTTTGTAAAGCAGATAAAAATATTCTGTGCTGGAGTGTAGCTCAGTGGTAGAGCATTTGCATGCTCAAGGCCCTGGGTTCCATCCCCCACACCAAAAAAAAGAAAAGTATTATCTTTTCTGATCTTACCTGAAAGGTTTAACTGCTGTTCTCAATATAACATGGTCATCTCGTGGTATGTGTTCCTTTATAAAACTTACCCATCAGGAATATCCAGTGTCTTTGAATCAAGCTGACAGATAAACAAGGCATCGAGTCCAGATCTTTACCTTTCCCACACACCCCAAATATAACTTCTTGTATTTAATGTGTTGTTATCATGTGAGGATTGAAACCAGGATCGTAAGCTAGCTAAGCAGCCATTCCACTGAGCTATATTCCCAGCCTCCAAAAGACTTATTTTAAACTACAGGAAAAATGTGAAACACTTTTGTACTAAAATATAAAAAATTGTATATACTGATTTTTACAAATAGACTTCAGTAAACAGAACGACCAGTAATATAAAACTTTTGGAACTTAATATGATGTAGTAGGGAAGGATCTATGACTATGGAAGCAGCAACTGTAAGATAAATGTTTGCCACACTTAACAGTTCCTCAGGTCAATGCTTTGTGATAATGCATTATTTAGTATTAATAATATTGACTAGAATGTTCCTCACGAAGCTTAGATGTTAGGACCAGGTCATGGCATTTTACTCAGTGACAAATCAAGTCAGTTTCTGATTACCTCTATCCAAAGTGGTTTAATTTTTAAACTATCAATTGCTTTCCAAAAAAAAAAAAAATTGCTTTCATATTTGCATAAAATGTTCACTTACATGGATCACATTTATTCCTAATGATAAGGACAAAGATGTAACCTTTTAGAGCTTTTGGTGATACAGGCCAGGGAGATGGCTCAGTAGAATAAGCACTTCCCTGACAAGCACAAGACCTGAGTTCAATCCCCGGTTCCGAAAAAAAAAAAAAAAAAAAAAAAAAATCAGTGATACAAGCAGCCAGCACTGATGAGATTGTTTTAAAATAATAGCATTTAATCCTGAGAACTGTTTTGTTTAGTGCATATATAAATAGAATTTATGTTTCACGGTCAGCGAATGACATTTCCATGAAATAAATGAAAAATAGGGTACGTTGTCAGTTTAAAAATGTGATGACAGACATACGCAAGATTCAGTCCTGCCGTACTGTGCCCTAAAGCTTGCCATCACTGAGTCCAGACTACCTAACACTTCCAATTTAGGGGAGGTTCAGTTTGGCTCAGTTTTCACAGGGTTCAGGCCATTGCTGAGTGGCTTTAAGAAGGACGATGATGACAGAGGGGTATGCTGGAGGAAAGCTGCTCTCTCCATGCTGTCAGAGAAGCAGAGCAGGGGAGTAACACTCCAGGAGAGAGGCCCAGGGCCCAGGAACAGTACGTACCCAGATACACCCGAGAGTGTTTTATTTTCCCCATGAAAGCTCCCAAGCTAATCAAGTTGGTAATGTAACTTAATTGTCATTCTAATAATAGTAAATGGTAAATGGACCATAAAAAAAAGTACTCTTGGGCTGGGGAGATAGCTCAGTGGCATAAGCACCGGCCTGGCAAGTGTAAGGTCCTGAATTCGATCCCCAGTACCATAAAAAAAGTACTCTCCTCAAATTTTTATGTAATAATATCTTTAAGTCCTACTGATTTTAAATCATGACTGTCAGCCTAACAGTATTTTCTAGACAGAATTAGCCAGACACCTGTGTCTCCTGTGTCTCCTCTGTATGTAGGTGTGCGTGTGTGTATGCACCTGATGAATGCGCCGAAGAAAGAATTGTGAGAGATGTGTACTTTGGGTTCAGAGTTGTTGTAAAATAAGAAAACTTTTGATTAAAAATCAAAGTTTATATAAGCAAACTTTTTATGAAAAGTACTTTAGAAAGATGTGTAAAATTTTATAAACCATGATAAATTGTGCTTACGTCTAAGGCCTTTAAGACATGTCTGTTTCAGAAAATTCCAAATTAGTATCTTAATCTAAGAGCTTGAAATTAGTCAACATTTGCATCAGTTAAAATACAAAGTACATATTTTGTTTAGATGCTGTTTACATTTTAATCATTTATTTTCAATTTTTGATGTAATAAAACATGGAATACAGTAATGCTTCTACAACCTAATAAAAACATACTTTTTTCATATTCAGCCAAACTAGTTGAATAATTTTAAATGACCATTTATTATTAATTATTATCAGTACAGAATTTAGTGTTTTTAGGCCTGAAGGAATATGCAGCTTTTCTTTTTCACATCTTAGGTCTGTACAGTTCTCTGATTGTGTGTCAAGGCTACTTGACAAAAGTCATTCTCAACATGTCTTTGCAGTAGCACCTGCCTGGCGAGCATGAGGTCATGAGTTCAATTCCTAGTACCATAAAAAAACCCTTTGCATTGACAGTTTAATTATATAATTCTCTAGCAGCATTTTATATATTTAAGAATATGTTCACACTTTCTGGATGAAATGCTAAGCATGATTTTTTTCTATTAAAAAGATAAATTGTTGCTTTGTTTTGTTTTAAGACAGGGTCTCACTATGTCATGCAGACTGGCTGAATTCATTTATGTAGTCTAGGCTGGCCTTGAATTCACAGTGATCCTCATGCCTTAGCCTCCTAAGTTCTGGGATTACAGGTGTGCGCCACCGCACCCAGCTAAGAAAACTATAAATTCTTTACTTGTTTTTAATTTTTTTATTTTTAATATATTTAGTACAGGGTCTACAGGCTCTCGCTAGACAGATCAGACTCGTAGTGATCCTATTTTCAGCATCCCAAGCCCTGGGATTACAGATGCACACCACCACGCCAAGTCTCAGTAGCTGTTTCAGCGAGCCTCCAAGGCAGGTCTGGATTGAACTCTGGTCCCTGTGTCTGCGTAAGCAGGCGCTTTAGTCCCCTGGGCTATTCGGCTGGCCTGCAAAATCTACAAATTCTTATATCTTCACTTTATAATATTTTCTGAATGTTATAAAATACATTTTCTTTGTAACACTGGTATGAATTTTAGACCCTACTGTTCATTATGGCATACATGTTATTTTAAAAGGTTTAAAAAGGGGAGGGAGGAACTAATTTTGGGCCAGGGAGATGGCTCAGTAGAATAAGTGCTTGCCTGGCAAGTGCAAGGGCCTGAGTTCAACCCCCGGTTCCACAAAAAAAGAAAAAAAAAAAAAAAAGTCTTAGGGCTTGCTTGGGCAGGGAGTGTGGGGAGGATGGGATGGGGAATATCAATAGGTTTATGTTTCCATGGAATATTCCTCTTTAAAAAAAAAATGATCCAAAAAAAAAAGATTCAAGGGGCCACGGAGATGGCTCAGTACAATAAGTGCTTGCCTGGCAAGCACAAGGGCCTGAGTTCAATCCTTGGTTCCGCCAGGAAAAAAAAAGAAAATCTTTAGTACAAATTTATTTCTTTTTGTTTTTTTTTTTTACAAATTTATTTCGGAGAGATTGTAGTACTAATGAGGACCTAAACAAATATTGAAGAGTAATAGCATTTGAATATGGTACTCTGAAGGTGAAGGGACAATCAGTAATGAAGTGTACTTAGTGATTCCGTACTGGGTGCTGAATGTTATCCTTGGTGTAGGGATAAAATGACATGCAAAAAGCCAGGCGTATTGTTGCACACCTGTAATTCTATCATTCTGGGAGGTGAAGCAGGAGAATCACACGTTCAAGCCCAGCCTTGACAACTGAGCAATTTAACAAGGCCTTGTCTTAAATTTTAAAAGACCATAACATGAGTTACATTGTGAGGTAGACAACCTCTTAACTTCACAAATTGTAAAACTTGGGCCGGGGAGATAGTTCAAGGTCCTGACTTCAATCCCCAGTATCTAAAAAAAAATTGTATGGGCTGGCGAGATGGCTCAGTGGTCTAAAGCACCTACTTGGAACAAGCTTGACAAAGCACAGGGACCGCGGTTCGATCCCCCAGCACCACATGCCAGCCAGCCCTGCCCCCTGGTGGGCTGAGCTGGCAACACACACACACACACACACACACACACACACACACACACACAAAATAAATAAATGTTTTAAAAAAAAAATTGTAAAACTTGGAACAAATGAGGATAAAAGTCTGTGACAGTATGTAGTGCAGGAATTGAAGAGAAACCTTTTCTGAGGCAATTGTGCTTAATATAAAGTTGTAGGGATAAATAAAAATAGGCAAAGGTGGGAAGGGAAGAGAATACTTCCAGTCAGCACCACAT